GAAGTGAGATTTGTTAACTATAAATGCAATAATTTACAATATTCATGAAACAGATTTCCTAATATATTGTAAGTTAAGTAAATCACGACGAAATCTGTATTCTTTTCAAATATCTGAGCCTCCTCAAGCCTCCCCAATTGGGTTTTAGGGGAGGCTTGAGCCTCCCCAAGCCTAATGGCTCCGCCGATGCCCATGAAAACAATTTAAAAAAAATATGCATTTGAACGCGTTATTTTATTTCGAGCATGATTTCGCTAGAACATTTGCGTGTGTCATAAAACGCGTTTCAACAGTTTTTTCATCAATAAAAACGCAAAAAGCAAATATAGAATGCTTTCTGTAAATTCCGTTTTTTCTCAGTTGTAACACCTTGCCATTTTCGATAAACCCGTTTAAACCATTGAGAATATTTTACGATGCGACGATGAGTAGATTCGAACTTTGAACATTTTAAATAACTTAACTGATGGAGTTGCGCCATACTTACAGATAACATTATGATAATTACACGCCTATACTTAGTGAATATAAGAAGAAATTTTGTATTCTATTCGGCACTTATCGAAGTTTCGAAATAATATCTCTGCCTTTTCCATATCAATATTATTATATATCTAGAGCTAATTTCAATAGTTTCTGGGTTTAGCATTTATTCTTTTCAATTTCTTTTTAATATCAATTTGCATTAATTTAAGTATAAAATCAATCTAAATTATGACAAATTCCTTTCAAAAGAAATTCAAAATCATTCAAAATAAAGTATTTTTAAAAATTATTATTTAGATCAAATCAATTTTATAAATGTAAATTGCTCCCTCCCTAATATTTTTTGATAATAAATAATGATAATTTTTATTTCTTTTATTTTTAACTATATGAATATTTTGACTTTTAGTATAATCTAGGTATTTAGTGACCTTTTTATTTGATCCATCACTAGAAAAAATACTGACAAAAACTTCTAAATAGTATATCTATATAAATATTCAAGCTGTCAAGAGAGAGAAGAAAAAAACTAAGCTATTATCTAAACAAAGTATAGTAAAATAAACAAATAGTGTATAATAATTCTTTTTTTAATATATTTTTGTTTGAAAAGCGAGTTTATACAAATTAAATTTTAGTTCTAAAGATTCAAAAAAGAAGTGACGCTTAAAACACTAATATTCTTTTATTTAACACTGAAGTAATTTAAAAGAGTTAATTTTCATTAGAAAAATACTGTTGCAACGTATTTCCCAAATATACTGTTTTTTAGGTAAAAGATACGTTATTAAAGGCAAGTTTAAACTCGTTCAAGATAATACGTTTAAGCGAATTTTTTAGAATCGGTTTTTTAAACAAAAACGATGTCTTTGTCCGAACGCATTTAAATGACTTTTATTAAAACGCGTTTTCAAATGAAAAAACCTGTTGAAAGGTTAATCAACACGAAAAACGCCTTCTTTTCTTAAAATTTTGGGTTTAAACGCCAAAATAGCGTTGTTTTTTTTTAAAACCTCGCGTTGAAACGCACATGTTTTCGAATTTTTTTTTCATGAGCAATACATTCATCTTATTATTTCATTTTTTGGTTCCTTTTGTTGCTAATCTCTTTTCAGCTATATTTATTATTTTGGGAAGTAGTGCTCGAAAAAGAAAGGCTCAAAAACAACTATCCTATCAGCAACATCTTCGTCAACAATTTAATGAACACAAAAATCTTGTTATAAGTCCTAGAATTCTAGTCATTCTGTCAACGCCTCGCCTTATAATTTCGTTATCGTCCGGATGTGTGAAAGCCTCCCAGAATTCATGGCTATATCTCATTGGTTATATTGTTTCGTTCATTTCTTCAACGTCTATTTTCTTAATATTTATTGTTCCATCGAAATTTTACATGAAACAATTCAAAGATACAATCAATAGTTGGAAGCGACGAATGTTCTCATCGTGACAGTTTACTTTTAGAAAACTGTGAATAGTTGTAAGTAACATAAATATTTGTAGACTGTATTATGCTTTCATTTAAACAAAACGCATCCTTTATAGCTTAATGTCTAAGTATCAGCTTTCGCTTTATCAATAAATATGAAAAAATGAAAATAAACATAAGTGATGAAAGAAAGCTATGCATTTTTATGATTGGGAGAGTGTGGGTGTGTATAATAAAAAAGAAAGCCACGACTACTCTTGATCGTTCTCAAGGATCTCCAGTAGGTATACTTTGCTCTGCATTGTCTTAAACTGAAAAATAGACGTTGAAGGAATATCTATAAAGAAATATTCTCATTTCTAAACAGTTTAAGTTCAAAGAAAGCAGAGAAATCTCTTTTTTCGTTCGGTGTGTGGAAATATTCAAAGACTTCTTACAGGTTTATACGGCAGTGGCAGTGCTTTCGGCTTTTGTTTAGAATTCTGTTTGAAATTATGTACTCCGAGTTCACTTGCTTGTTTTAAGTAGATTGTAAGAGTTGGCTTTCGTATATAGTGTCGATTGTGGTATGTTGGCTCGAATCGGTTATTTTAGTGTTGTCGTTTTGGAAGATTCTCATTGGTATTGATTAGTTGATCATATAGGCTTAAGAATAAAAGAATATTTTGTTGGATCAGATTGGAGAAAGCCTGTTGTTAAGTTGCTTCTCAGGACGATCATTCCGACGGTCTGAACGGACGTCTTAAGAGGCCTGATACGGCTGAAAAACGGTATAAGAAGGCATTAATTTTCACCTTATTTCGCCGTGATCCATCAGCTCGTTTTTAGGGTATATTTTCCTTGAGAAAACGATCAACGTTTTAAACACTATATGCATTGTTTTCTAAGCTGACCGACAACGGCGCTGTTTTTCGTCGTTTTATACCGTTTTTACGTCGTTTAATATCATTTACGGATCGTTTTCTTGGACATGGGTTTTTGAGTGTAGTTGCTATCATCAGTTCTGTTGCCTTATGAGGGTGTGGGGTGTGGGTGTGGGGTATCGGTGTGAGGTATGATCAAGGGGGAAACGGCAGACTTGAAGTAGAAAAGTACATCAAAGTACTTTACTTGAAGTAAGCTTAAAGTAGCTTAAAGTAGCTCAAAGTAGTCCAAAGTAGTCCAAAGTAGCTTGAAGTAATTGCAAGTAACTTCAAGTGAATTTGAAGTTGAAAAGTACTTCAAAGTACTCTACTTGAAGTAAGCTTAAAGTAGCGCAAAGTAGCCTAAAGTAGCCTAAAGTAGCACAAAGTAGCGCAAAGTACTTGAAGTACAAAAGTCTGCCGTTTCCCCCTTGGGTATGATATAAGGATAATCCAAAAGCACACCGACATCGACAGCTCTGGTTTGTGCCAAAGTGTTATGTTTGAAAACGAAAGTGGAGGAATTCATTTTGATATATGTTAAATACTTTTCTTCGCTTAAAAGCAACCTGTGATTCGGAATATTATTTTGTCTTATGTATTGCGTGCGCACGAGCCGTTTGGTCGAAAGATAAAGATTGAGAATGCTAGCTCGCCGTCTGGGTACAAGCACTCGGGTCATTATTACTATATGCAAAGGCAATTGCAATATCAATCACATGAAGGATGCTGTCGTTTCTAAGAAATTTACAGGACGAAAATTTATTTTTCAGTTACCTCATCAAATACTCAAAATCAGAAACAAATATTTATCCTTCTTCACGTTTGCCACACGATGTTTTGTTCCCACACGAAGACCTCTCTTCTGGCGCTTACTGGGGAAGATAAAATAAAGGAATGGCAAAGAAAGAAATGGCTTGAGAGCAAAAAACATCTGTTTGGTTTATGCTCAGAAAAAACTGTCACTTCCCATTTTTCAACTGCACGAAAACAAAACATTTGAAATGATAATCACTCCTATTTATTGAGTGCCTTTACGCGACAGTTTCGCCATTCTCCTTTGACGCGGCTCTGTTGAAGACAGTGACACAGTCGAAGAATATTCAGCATGCATCAATTTTCAAGACAATAGTGCATAGACGAGGACCCATCTTCTCCAATGTATTATTTACTTTGCTCTAATAGTATATATTATTGAAGTGAGTTTAATAGCAACTGTCCTGAGATTGGTAATGCTCTATTCGTCTGTGCTTGCAATCGCAGTTAGAGGTGTCAGCCGTCCGCTTGGAATCACGTCGGCTCTAACGAAGACATCGGGTTCAGCAAAAATCATCTGACGGCTTATACCTCTAATTGAAATAGACCAGGCCACCGATGTGGAATTGTTGAGTGAAGTTCTTGCTTTTATCGAGGACCCCAGCTAACGGAAGGAACCCTTAATTTAAAGTCATGCTTTTCTTGATTAGTGTACGAGTCTCTCAAAGAGGAAATCCAATCATCTTACCATGCATAAATGCATGTCCATTTGGGTTGTTTGTTGACAGTGGTGGGTAAAACGATCAGCTTAACTGCTTGGATTGTCGATGATGAGCTAGAATCACTGAAAATGATTCAGCTATTTTCATCAGTCTCTCCGTTACCGAGTGATAACTTCTATAAACATTGAAATCAATGTGTAATTTAATCGATTGTGTTAATAACATTTTTATATTCTGTTTCAGATAAAATGAATCTTATTACTAGTGAGTTTCTTTTCGATTGATTTCAAGTTGGTGTAAGATTTAATCATGCATTTGTTTTCTTCAGCAATTTTAATAGTTTCAATCACGGTGATCGGCCTAGTTTACGGTCATTTAACACGGTCATCGTTGGCTGAGAATGTTTTCTTGCCGAAGGAAAGTTCAAGCGATCCATATGAGAATCGTTATGTACAAACAATATTTCGAATGAATAAAAAGGAGCTGATGCAAATACCGAAACTTGACGATGAGGTATTTTTATTCAATCTAGAGCGAAATATCGATGACATGACGAGTAAGTGTATGAAGGCAAAGAAGAATTTCAGGATGAGGATGTCACAAAATACAAATCGACTTGTCATCTTACCTTTACGTGTGGCAAAAGTTTAGATTATCAGTAAATTTACGAATTCTACGCTAACTCTTCCGCTAAGAATCTCTAGACAAAAAGAAACGTTTTTTATTGCGATTAATTTTAGGCTTGGTTGTAATTAAAGATGTATCGATGATATTCGATGATAAACTCGACGAACAGCTATTATCACAGCGTGACATTGAAGAGAAATGGGAAGATCTAGTTGTAGCGGGTCCGATTACTGTGAATTACATCAGTAATCTTATGCTAGTAGCCAGTAGAAGAGATTTTGCTTTAGTGCGACCGACACCCGATTATGTTTATACTCACATGAAATATCCGAATTCCTTTCGCGCCACTTTGGTTCAGGTTGCAAACGAAATGTACGCGGCATTTCTCGGTGCACATACCAATATGGATCGTATTCAGACGAATATGCAGCAGATACCGAATCATCTCAAGACCGCTCTCAAACTACTCACATCTGCTTCACCTCGTCTTATTAAAGCGTTACTTCCGCTAACATTGAGTAGTATTGAACGGATTGCCAGTCAATCGGTTGAATCAGCTAATTCAACATTTCAAAGCTACACGAAACTTTCAGGATTGCTAGGTGAAATAACAGCAGTTACTAAATACACTCAGAATTCGACCGAACTCGTACTTGGGACAATAAACGATACCTGGAATAACTCAACTAAAGAACAAGAATTATTAAATTCTCAACTCGAATGGATACGTCAAGAATTTGAAACCGCACGAGAAGCTCTACAGAAAGCTCAAAAAGAATATCACGACGCGTATCATGCTATTCCGGGACGACGAAAGCGTTTTCTGGGAAGCGTCGGAAATTTCTTCGGTGGAATATTTAGCAGTGTGGTAAATGTTATTGGTGGAGCATTGAATACTGTTGGATGCATTTTTGCTTCATGTAGTGGCAAGCCCAATAACTTGGCATTCGAAAATGCAAAAGCGAAAGCAGAATTGGCATATAAACATTTGCAAGAAGCACAAGCCATATACGATACATGGTATGCGAAAATGTTGGAGAAGCAGAACACACTGACTGCTACTATCATACAATTATCTCAATTGGACATGGATAAAGTCGATCATCAGACCATTATTGATATTCTTGTCAAAGCAGCCAAAGAAATCGGTCATATACAAGAACAATGGAATCATATGATTCGATTTTTTTCAAAAATCTCCATTCAAGCCGAACAGACACAAGAGACAATTCTATTTGAATTCGTTGCCGTTATTGAGGCAACCGAAATGATAAGCGGATATTTGGATGACGCTGATCGAGAATTCTACGTCACATTGCTTCTTCAAACAGCAGATGATATAGATCGTGGAGCACATCTGTTGTATATTATGTCCAAAACTTATTATGATGTTAGTGCTAAATATATGATGAATCAAATTGCTGGAATTTCAGGACTTTTGGTCACTCAAACAAATGAGGAACGTGAAAATCGAATGAAACAAATTGCTCAAGAAACACTTTCAACATCGGCAAAAGTGTCTCGTATGGCATTAGAACGGCGGCAACAATATGAACAACGAAATAAAGAGCGACAGGATGTTTATCAACAATTTATTCAAGAAGCTAGTTTGAACGAATTTCAATCATCCATCGGAAAATAGTACATTTCATTCGGTGCAACACTGTCGAAGGCGAAAAAGAGAAAATTGTCTTTGAAAGTTGCTCTTGAAGGCGAATTTAAAAATAAATTTGTATCGTGCACTTGAAGTGACGATAGAGAAATTGTGCAGTAAGAATGATAAACAATTAAAAGTAATATAAGGTGGCCTAAAGGTCACTTTCTCTAAAACAAAATTGAATATCAGCATTAGGACTCGAACAGGGTGTGGGTACAGGTGGGTTTGATTGGGCCTATGGGTATTGGTGCAGATTTATGGTGGAAGTCTACATGGTTGAACTGCTTTGAGTCGCTCGTACCTACACTCGACCGTCACCCACACCCTTAAGAAAGAATTCTACTTCTAGTGTTAGTACTTGTACGATGTAACCTTGTGAACCTTCAACTGACAAGAAAAATATATTCGATAGACAAACAAACCCTTTTTCTACAGAATTAAATTCTCTATCGAGTAGGATCAGACTCCAATAAACGATAATTGTTAAATGTCTGAAAGATAGAAAATTGATTATGCGACACACGTTAACTTTTATCTTTCATCATTGCTCCATACATTGATACTGTTTTCTTTGTTGAGCTCGTGAACAATGACTGAACATTTGCGGTATCACTACACCTTATCAATTTATCTGATAGAGAAGTCAGCAGATGAGGATTGAAATAAAAAGTTGCTGGCATTTGTGATGAAACCTTTTTTATTAAAATTAAATCTTCATTAGTACGTGATTGAGCGCCGGCGCTAAATAAAAGAGCTCAAATAATTCTGTCAGATTTTTCAATTTTATTGAAAAGGTCAATTGCGTTATTTGCCGGATTATTTCTTATGCAGCCTAAAACAAAAGAATCAGGAAAACTTTTACGAGCGATTCGAAGAAGCCGATCCCATAGTCCGAGTGAAAATGCTTTCTTTTTAACATAAAACGATATTTTTGGATATCAGGTTGTAATTTCATAGGATTACCGTCTTCATCGCTTCGATTATATGTGTTTTTGTAAAATAATGCTTTTTATTTCGAACGTCTTTTCTTAATATAATAATTAATCGGCGAAAATCGTTACCTTCAATACGTGTAAACGAGATTAAATCGAAACATTGATGCTTTTCTTACGAGGGAACGTTTTGAACTATCCAAGAGCTTTTGAGTTCGAAATTTTACCATAATGTAGAGTTCAGTGAGGTATGAAAAATCCCAAAAGAACAAATGTCCATAGGCCTTCTGTTCTGAGTTATAGGTATTTTACTGAAATCTCGTCCTGCAGCAGGGCATCTACGAAAAAATCAAATTGCAATATTTCGACCTGAAATTCCGCTCAAAGACAGATCTATTTAACAATAGAATAGCCTGAAAATTTCAGCCCAGAAAAATACCGCATTACTGAGATATTCAAGTTCCAAAATACAGAAAATTTTATAATTTTTGGGGGATATACGTGTTAATTGAGACTTGAATATCTCAGCAATGGGTTACAATTTTGATCTGAAATTCTCAAGGCATTCTATTGTTAAATAGATCAGTCTTTGAGCAGAATTTCAGGTCGAAATATCACAGTTCGATTTTTTTCGTATATGCACTGCTACAGGATGAAATTTCAGTAAAATGCCTAGCTATAACCCAGAACAGAAGGCTTATGGGCACTTGTTCTTTTGAAAATTTTCAGAACTCATCGAACTCTACCTTAGGAAAAAATTTCGAGCTCAAAAGCTCGTGAAAAGTTCAAAGCGCTCCCTCGTCAGTCACTTGCCGAGATAAAGGTACGCTGGGATGGACAATGAGAATGAGGCAGCAGTTAAACCCAAAGAATTTGAAATTCGCTTTCGAAACATAAGAAATTTCATATTATTCTAATGCACAAAAACAGTTCTTATTCCTATATCAGTTGTTGACATATAACTAGCTGCAATAAAAACACATTGTTTAGTCACAATGGCGCATACATCAGCCGACTATCTACTTAACTTTTTGATAAAGGATGAAAAATATTCTTGTTGAATAATGATAAAAAGCAAGCACAAAATTATATGAGTTTTTTTCTGTTCTGGTATATTATATCAGCGTGATGCTTAAGTAGACATTTGTTGAGAACGAGAATGATTAGTTGAAAATAGAGTGAGTATTTTGAAACAACGAATGTGATAAATTCTTGCTAGCTTTATTGAATTGTTAAATAAATATAGAATTTTGCAATTGACAGTGGCTGAGCAAATGGGTTTAACATCGGACAATTTAATTCTATGTGAAACTATTGTTTCGTTGTCCGTTGATTTTTAGACATTATTTGTCGTTTTAACTGTGTTTGTTCGTGTGTTCAAGGCTATGATTATGTTCATTGACGACTAATAACATACTCTTGAACTTGATGCCCTCAATCAAGATCAATACATGACATATCTCAGTGATAATATCATTGGGATTTTCTAAAAATCAAAGTGTCACCTAACCACATATAGATGGATAGATGGATAGATATATAGATATATAGATAGGTAGGTAGATAGATAAATAGATAGACACGTAACAGTTTCTTTTTGGAAAATCCCAATGATATTATCACTAAGATTTGTCATGCACTCATCAAGATATGTACATATAAATTATCTTTACAAGATCTTTCTTACAAGATAGTTCATTAGGATTGATATCCTGCAAAGAGTTAAAACTTTGTTTCTATAGGATAAAAACAATAAAATACTATTCTCTTTTATCTAATTATCGAACATTGAGACAAAAAGTGGTCAAACATAGTCCATGTTTAAAATGAAGATAATAAATTTGTTTTCTTCTTTTCAGATAACACATATATGCCAACGAATATCTTCTTAATCATCAGTTAACTTATTGGATTAAGCGCATTTTTCTTCGTAGATTCTTATCTGTTTTTAATGAATTTCTGATTGAAATTTGGTTGAACCTGTTCACATTAACTCAAGTAAAACTGAGAAAACAATTTAGTTCTTAATTATATGATTCTTTGTTCGTCCCTGCCTTGAAGATATCTAGATCAATTTTTACTGTTCTTATAGGATCATCGTACTTATGGGGAATCGGTTTCAGAATACAAATTCAGAACAAATCAGTTGGCCTCAATCAAAAAATATCAGTTTGGCTCAATCAGAACAAGCACCTCGAAGATTCGCCATAATCATTGGAAATAATAAATATGAAAATAAAAAATTAGAAAATTGTGTCAATGATGCGACTGAGCTTGCTGCATCCCTTGAAAGTGTCAACTATAAAGTGACACTTCAAACAAATGTCACATGTGATGAAATGCACCAGTGCATCAGAGATTTCACTGATTCTATTCAAGCTAACGATTTTATTATTTTTTTCTTTGCTGGCCATGGTGTTCAATGGGGTAATCAAAACTATCTTCTTCCGTGTGGCTGTAAAAAACTTGATAGTCGGGATGATATGGAGCGTTATGCGTTTAATGCGCAAACAATACTAGATACGATGGTTGAGAAAGAACCAAAATGTATTGTATTCTTACTTGATTGCTGTCGAGAATATTGGCTACCCAAACATAAACGCGGAGACGCGGTAGATCAAGGGCTGACACCAATGAAATTATCAACAGAAACACTAATTGCATTTGCTTGTGCAGCGGGAGAAACAGCAAATGATTCTTCTTATGGATCAAAAAATGGAACATTTACAAAACATTTGTTAGAAAACATTAAGATTCCTGGTTTGGATGTAATGAAACTAATGCAAAGGGTAACGAGAGGTGTTAAAAAGGAAACAAGAAATGCACAACAACCATATTTGGTTTCCTCAATTACGGAAGATATTTATATAGTACCAGCAGGTAAACCAAAGTTTGCAATGTTTTTGTTGATTTGTAGCTTTGTTTCTAAACCGCTCACATTGTAAAATGTCAGCCTGGTTCTTATTTTAATATTGTTAACGTAATTAATTAATTATTTTTCATATATAGAAACGATCCAAGCAACAAAGAGCACACCGACTATTCGGAAACCATTAAGTGCTAATACGCATAACCAATTAACAAGGGAAAAACAGTCGTATGAAGTAATGATCAATAAAAATTTTAATTCTCATCTGAATGATTGGAATCGTTGCTTTCAATTTATTTTAGAGCGCTGCTGATGATTCAGCTACTTCACAACTTGTGCCATCGAAAGGCAGTGACGAGTATATAATTATATTTAATATTAAGTGTAAATCTTTGATTATCTTTCTAGAATGGCTCATTCGACATCGAACGCGTCAGTAAAATGTAAGTGTGAAAGTGACATTTTCTATGTCTGATCAAGTTAAAATAAAATATGATAAAGGTATGAAAATAATTGTCAGCAAGGCTCTGAATTAGTACAATTGTGTTTCCTCTTATTCGTTTTCTTACCAGTGGTTTTTATTTTCTCTAATGATCAGTATTTCTCGACGCTCATAAATGAATAAGTCTAAGTTTTTTAATGGTGAGAGAGTTACGCGTTGGAAATTGAGGAAAATTTTCGCAACAAAATTATATTCCAAATCATTTTGTGAACATTGTTTACATACTCTGAAAGTTTGATTAGATTTGAAAAAATCTGTACATTTGGTTTGCAACCATTGCATCGAGTACTTCAATCTCAGTAGGAGTATCGAGTTACCCACAGGTGAATTGCGAACTATCCCGAAAGCAATGATTTCCACCCGAACAATAAGTCTCAGTGTAGACCATAGATTGAAGCATACTCTACTTTTGCTTGCCAGTTCAATGAGAAATTTTAGTGGATACCGTCATAGATTTCAAGTCATCGATGGACTTTTGAATCACCATGATATTCAATATTGAGACAAAAAAATGTGGAAACCTTGGATTCAAATCCGAGTGTTGTGTGTGCTTCAAAAATGGAAGCTGCCGAAAGATTGATTTTAATCAAAATGTCTAAAAGAATCGACTAGTAGTGTCAACATACGTGAGTTTTTCATAGTTTTTGGGTACTGAGGTATTGAGGAAGTTTCAAAAACAGCATATTTATCCTAAAAGTTAGCATCATTTTATAGTTCATGAAGTTCTCTATCGAATGGTATACAATAGTTGAGTTTTCACTTTGACTATGACAAAACTTTTGATTTGTGAAGATTGGAATAGATCACTATTTGCATAGAAAATAATGATATTTCTTGCTGTAACTTAGTAAATCATTTACGAATTGTTCTCATATTCGAACTCGACCGAGATATTGATGACATAATGCTGTGTATAAAATTCATGACAATCGGATTAGCCTTTCTGGAGTTATCGTGTAAAGAGCCGGGCGGACACACTGACCGATTCTATAGTGTACTCACTTTTTGAGTACACAATAAAAACAAAAATATCAAATAATAGGAAGAGAATATTTAAATTTAAGTACAAAAACTGAGTTTTCTGCGTCGTTCAGTACAACAGAAAGGATTTTATGGCACCTCAGAAATTCAACAGGTCGAATCATGTCAGGATACTCACTAGTTGGTGATACAAAATTAGTTAGTCGGGTTTGCAATTACAAAAATACATCTTAAATCAGTTGCACATTGAAAAGTTGATGCTGAAAAGAGAACGTCTTTATCCATGTACCTTATTGAGTACAACATTTCTGTTAGACATCCATTCATACAACTTTCAGATAAATTGGCAACAGCTGCTGCTTTTCGTCGAAAGCGGGCGTTAGTCATTGGCATTAATGAATATGCTCGCCATCGACTGCGGTACTGCATCAATGACGCCAAAGATTTAGGTGAAGCTCTTCAAAGAATTGGATTCCATGTATCATCAGCATACGATTGCGACCGTAACGACTTCAATCGAAGCATTGCTTCATTTGCTGAAGGTACGAGCAGTGACGATCTGACTTTATTCTATTTTTGTGGTACTGGTTTTCAATATAACGATGATCTATTTCTAATGCCTTCTAATTATGATGATCCTTACAACGGACCCGATCCAGTGTACCTAAAACATAATGCAATTAGCGCACAGTTAATAGTGGAGCAAATCACAGATCGAAGCTGTCGAGTTTTGATATTAATATATGATTCCTGCAGATGCTACGCACAAACAAAAATACGAACTCGAGGAGTCGCAGAGACATCAAAACTCACAAGTATGAGATCGCCAACAGAAACTATCGAACTTTTCTCTTGCAAACCGGGCATGAACGCGAGTGATACTTCAGTAAATGGTAGGAACGGTATTTTCATGGGAACCTTATTAAAATACATAGACACGCCACACCTAGATATCGAAGAAATATTTCAAATGGTTACAGCAAGTGTTAGAACTCAAACTCGTGGTTGCCAAATACCAGAACGAAGAAGCGATCTCACCAAAGCAGTTTACTTGGCAAATTGAGATATCGACAGTTTGAAATTTCTACTCGTTTTTAACAATACACTTTTGACAATAATATATCAGTTTAATTAATCTGTCATTCTTCACACTCATGTGCTTAGGACACAGTAGTACTTCAATTGAAAATAGAGCAATCTAGAGGTTGTGTGTGTGTATGGGTGTGGCAGAGCTGTAGCCGAACCAGTCGATCTGGTAAATGATTGCTTGCCCGTCTGGGTGTCAATGTGAGTAGGAGTGTAGAAAAGAGAAGGAATCAAATTGGTGACCGCACATATCGTCGCACGACATTTCGTCGCGTTCACTTCGTCGCAATCATTTCGTCGCACGATCACTTCGTCGCAGAGCATTTCGTCGCACGACACTTCGTCGCAGAAAAATTCTTTTCGTTCTGTTCGTCCCTATCTATTTGTCGCATCTCTCTTAATGAATTATTCTTTTTGTGTATAACCAATGGAAAGTTTATGAGTTAATTTCTCTATATTTTGTGCATAATACACATAACATAATGAGGAACAGATTGAGAAAAGAAATAATCTAAAGAAATAAAATGAACTAAAGAGTAATGTTGCCTGCTATATTTTTTAAGAAATGATCTAGGTGAGATGAGTAGAGGGAGTTGACCGGTTGAATTTTAATATCAATTTTTAATTAAATAATCGGAAAACGATCGGGTTTTGGAGCATGGGAGCGTGATGTTAGTGGTGAGAGAATTGTCTTCAGGAATAAATTCGTATAACAACAAGCTTCATTGATAAATGATTTTTATTTCAATTAATTGATTGATGTTCAAAACGATCTTAGCTTTACAATCTCGATTCTCAGATCGAAGAATAAATTTAGTCGTTATTGTACGTTTTTCAGTATAGATGTCACCTTCTTGGAGCATCATTGCTTTTTATTTTATACAAAACAGTTTTTCTATTTGAGACACTTTGGTTGAAAACTAGTACGTAGTGAAAATTGAAATTAAGGAGTGAAATGTATTTTTTTTATTTGACTTGCAGTCCAATAATTAAGAATGTCGGATCAGTACTATTTTTAGTTTTGGATTACTCAGAAATTCATGAAGCGAGCAACAAATCTAATTAGTCCTCATTAGCTTTAGCACTATCACAATTACATGAGAAAACTTTTTTAATTTATCCTTTCACCGAATTAAAATTATGTCTCAGCAAAATTAATTGTATATCCCTATCGTACATATCTCTTGCAATATTTCATTTATTGTACGTTATTTCCATTGGTTGTACACAAAAAGAATAATTCATTAAGAGAGATGCGACAAATAGATAGGGACGAACAGAACGAAAAGAATTTTTCTGCGACGAAGTGTCGTGCGACGAAATGTTCTGCGACGAAGTGATCGTGCGACGAAATGATTGCGACGAAGTGAACGCGACGAAGTGTCTTGCGACGATATGTACTAGTGCCATCAAATTCACATTCACATGTCGCGCCTCTTGATTTATTTCTCTACTTGACTGCAATCATAAGAAAACCAAAACGCTACTCTTTATTAATAAAATTTCATTGTCTGTATATGAATGCTATTTGTAGAACATATTTTTCAAGTAAAATATTTTGATACATAAAAATTGGTAAAAAAATGAACGAAGTGGATTTAATGAGGAATAAATTTAGAAAATGTCTTTCTTCAAGTTTCTGTAAGAATTGGTCACGATTAGTAATTGAAATATGTCAATGGAACATCTGAAACAGAGAGGCATGTGAAAATAAAATGAATGCAAGAAGTTCTAATCAATATCTACCTTCAGGAAAAATGTATGTCGCAACATCGTCCTTAATAGTTTCATGCAATGAATAGAAATCATATCCGTCAGCATCCTGTTGCCGATTAACTCGAATATGGATGAATAAGTTGTCACCAATCGATACTTTCATAAAATAATTGACACCATAAGCTGTCTGTTCTTCGGCATACTGTGTTACCCTAATTATTTTGAAAACACGAAGTCACTTTTTATAATATAATGGTAAAAAATGAAAATGGCTTACTTCCAATTTGAAAACTGTTTTACTCGTTCTTCTTCGGTAAATTGATGCAGTTTACTCTCGCGATGCTTCTGATGTAATGCATTGATGGCCGCCTCTTTGATTTCCGGGCGATCACTAGTTTGAATGAAAACAAATCCATCGTGATAGAATACTTATTGATGATCTATGAAGATAACTTACGCTACTGCTTGGATTTCAGATGTTGCGTCCTTAAAAGAAAAATATGAACATGACATGTAAAATAGTTTACTCTTTCCATGAACGAACCATAACAGGCCCCATAGCATTGCAATCTTCATCCGACATGATTGTTTGTGCTCACGTACTGGTAAAAAAATCTTCTAAAATCAATAATTTTTTTGTTGTTGTGTGAAACTGTGCACAGTATATAAATACTCTTTGCTGTGCATGGTTGTAAACCCTTTTCAGCCGGATGTTGCCATATGGCAACATTTTCCTCTATAGGGGTACGACGTTTTTCATATAGCCGGCGGTAAAGTGTTACGTTGCTCTATTCATTTCGTTTCTTTCTGAATACGTATTTTGGTTACCACTCGCTCGTTCACTACGATTTTATCATTGAAAAAAGCAAGAAACACTCATATTGATAGCAACGCAGCAGAAGAGCTATGCATTTCTCTCTCCGTAGTGAAATACGCATTACTTTGCGCTGTTTGCATTCTCTCGGTCCCTCTCTAATGGAATCAAGAGAAAATAGAAAGTGGCGCTTGCTCTTATCTTCAACCCCTTGAATTCGTTTGTTCGTTCGTACGCGAACCAAATATTTCGTTATAACAGTCTATTATATTCTAGGATGTTTTATTTTATTTAAATTAGCCATATTATGATGACACATGATTAGAAGCATATGCTTGTAGTGGTTGTATATGCCTACATCTCAGACACTTTTCATTATCTTTCTCATAATGGAACTTATCATGGCAAAAAGAACCCATAGTGATATTGTCAATCAACGGACAACCTCGTATAGATTGAGAAAAGTCTATTCAGATTGCCTCATTTTCACTTAGCCCTGTTTGTGAAACAATTGTTGACTATTTTAGCTTGTACGAGAGATTGAGTACCGATGTTTTTTTCCAGAAAAAAAGTCAAATGCGCCATCAACCGGCGTGTCTCGATTCGTCATCAAAGGAATGTGGAGTGAAAATATTTGATTGCGAACAATTCTGAATATGGAGAGCAGAGCGCTTTCTTCAACAGTTACGTTCATTGTTCTCATTTTTTTTCGTTGATTCAAATGGCATCCCAAGTTGAACCGAATAAGCACACCGTATATGGGCTCTGTAAATCTCGAACTCAGATAATTTGTATGAAGTTGGAACGCCAGCTAAAGGAGCACAAGTTTGGTGTGCTTTGCTATATTGTGAAATATGTGATGTCATGATAAGGTGATATGAGATAATAAAATTTCTTTCATGCGCACAATGAAATAATAATAGAAGCTGTGAAACAATTTCGGGGACGGTACGGAATTTGTTTATGCAATAACGGGAAAGAATTTGTTTTAACAGGAACGGAAATTTTGTTAATTTTCCGGGAGCTGGAACAAGAAACAGAAAGCAAGAGAAGTCGTTTCCGCAGGCTCCTAGTTATTCCACAGCTGCCTGCATACTACTTTGTAGCCAAAACATTTCTACATATGAGGAACCAAATACTTTACTTCTGCAACATTTTGCACAGTTTGGATGTTTAATGAAAGATATATGGGTTGCATCAACACAGTGCACCCTTTTTTTCTTAACTACATGAAGCAGTCTAATACTTGATTGGTTGCATGTAGGAAAAGATAGAGAAAAGCAAGACGAACAAATTTTATTAAGAACTTAGTGATCGATTTTGTACTGCAGAAATGTTACAGATTTCAAATGTGGCCACCAGCAAAAATAGCCAGAGGGATCCGAACTACTCCAGAGTACTGTACCTAGTAAGATCTTTTATAATTAAGAAGAAAAACTATCGATACGTTAGAACTTTATTAAAAATGTTTTATGAAAAACTGCCTATTTGTATTTCTGACATAAAATTAAATAAATCTAAATTGGACTTGAGATTTGAACGTTGTTTTATTGTTACTAAAACATATATTGGTTCCGTAAATCACAGTATTTGATTTGCTGACTTTTGTTTCCGATGCTACGATAAAAAAAGAAATTATGTTTTTTATTAGGGAAAAAGTTTATACTAGTCCATATTTAATTGTTCTTTTATACTTTTTTTTGCGTACAAACATAATACATCACCTTAAAACACAGTACCGAATTTCTGTAACGTGTGGTATATTGAGTGTTGAAGTGGGTTAATGCAGTCATGTAATTGCTGCTTCTGTCTGCAAGAGGGAGGAGTGGAGAGAGTTGAAAAACTTCGATTTATTTTGTTGTTCGACAATACACCAACCAAAACTGTCTTTTTAATTTCTATATTGTGAATAATACTTTTTATGGGCGCTTTATTTTTAAAAATTTTTATTATTAAAGGGGGTATCTGTAATACCCTAGAGAATGTACAAAAGTCAGGGTAACCGAAGCCAATACTTGGAAATTTATTATTAGTTTTACTGGCAAAGGTACGTTAAGTACTCACATCGGTACATGTACTGGAAGCGTATTTGCGTGAGTGCCTAAACAGACGAAGTTACTACAGAAACTAAGGCAGAGTATCCTAATTTTCTATTCTATTGGTCCAAGGCACTCTACATAGAGAAAACACATGATTACACTGTAGAAAACGTTGATTCGTAGAGATTGATAATCACTTTCGGGAATTTACGTTGCCTTTTTATGAAAAATTTTGGAATTTTAATCTAAGATTATACTAATCGAGGTAACAAGCCATATGTGAGGGCAACTGCAGTCGTCTTTCAGTCGCAGATCGTGATCATCATATATGTAGAGAAAAAGAACTAAATGGCCGATTCATTAATTCTTTTTTGTACTGAAGGTATGTACTCTAATGAATTCATCGATGACAATTATTCCAGCTATTCTCAGCGAGAAAGAAATTTAATGTACCCAATTTTCATTACAGATTATACTTTCATGTAATTATAGTTATTTCAACAAAAGCTCAATGGTCAATATTCCGAAGATATAATACCGAAAATGTAGCATTGAAGAATTTTCCTAATTTCTTTTCTAATGAGTAGCTCTTGTATCCGAAAATATGAATCTGCTCAATATTATAAAAATTCTGTATTTTTAGATATGTCATCATTTTTTTTAGAATAATTTGTGATAGTAACTTGGATTCTATATAAATCAACAAAATAAACTTCTCTATGGCTTCTTTTATTTTCACATATAAATCAAATTTTTGCATATATTAGTTTATCTAAACTTCACATACATAATAATTCTTTCGTGTCATTATTTTTTTTTTTTATGAGCCTGACAAATCATTGACGATTAGTGAGATTCTTGATGCAACGAAAGTTTTAATCACAAATCTTAAGATTTATATTTTTGGGTTACAATAACGTTAAAATGTGCAATACTAGAAGAATTCAGAATGAATGATTGATTGATTCTGAATATACTTTAATATTCCTAACAGGCTACCTAAAATTACTGTATGATGTTACCTGAATGGGGGGGGGGGGGGTATTACAGAANCTCTGTGTTGTTCTCTCTTATTGCTTATTGTCGTGCTTGTTATTTTCAACATTGGCACCATTATTTCGTTTTTCGCGCTTAGATTCAGAGAAATGAGATATAATTACTCTCTTTTTCTCCTGAAGTTTCTTAGAAGCTTCTTGATATATCTCTCTTCACTGAGATATACTAATTCTTCTTTTTCTTCTCTGACTACTATTTTTCTTCTCTATCAAAAAGAATCATCTTTTTGATCAATTACATACTACCTTTTTCTTTTCAACTTGATTGTTCTTTACAATCGTTCGAACTCGCGTCAGCTAATTGCTTGTGGAGTTCTTATTATTATTCTCAACTATTTCTGTTCATTGAATAAACAATTGGATCTTCATCCAATATTCAATACTATTTAATTTTCGTTGTTGTCATTCTACCATAACCAATACTGTGGCACCTGGCATTATTAGTAGTAGCGTCTCTGATCCTCATCAAGGCGTTACAAGTGGCGATCACACCAGGATCGACGTTGTGAGTTCTGTCTCTCGTCAGCCTGTTAACTATTATTCTGCACAATTGATTACTTTGAACTTTCAATCAACATCGATTCCTTCACCATCTCAACTATTATCTCCATCATCAATGGAACACTGTTCTTTTGAAGAAATGGATGAATTAATTCGGCCATCTTCTCATCCAGTTACACCAGCAGTTATCGATTCTTCAAAAACTGATCAGGTTGTTCGAAATACAACGACTGATTCTCAAGATATCATACTCAAAACAATCGAAGATAAATTTCGAATAGTTTTCGATCGTCTTGCACGTGTTGAGCGATCGAAATCTACACGCACACTCATCAACAACGACTCCAGACCTGCTTCAAGTCGATCAGTTCAGATCGAAAATTCAGCAGCTATATGTTCAGCAAATTTACAAGCACAAGAAGAAATCAGTCGTTTGAAATTAGAACCTGCCATAGCACGTTCACAATTGAATAATAATCAATCATCATCACATCATAGTCGATCATCGGCTTTTAAACCAATTCCAAATTTGGTGAGTGATAATCATATTCATAGCTCACAGGTACGAACATCTATCAACATTATAACACCAAATGTTATCCGATCATCACCATCACTGATACCAATAGCAATACCAACTTTTTCATCACCATCGTTAAATTATCCTCCATTAGTCTCTACACCATTTACTATGAATATTAATAATATTTTACCGAGCTTTAAAGGTTTAGCAGAAGAACGGCCTGTTCAATTTTTAATTGAATTTGAAATTCGAGCTGTTTCTCTTGTCGGGAAAAACGATACTCTTCTGTTACAAACTGTCCAACAGGCCCTTTCTGAACGTGTTCTCATCTGGTTCAGTCAATTACAAAGATCTCCTGACCGAGTTCATAACTGGAAAGAATTCAAGACAAGATCAGTGACGTTGCTGTCGTCACAGGGCTCCCGTATCAAATAAAACGGACCTCCGGGACGTAAAAATATTACGATAATCTCATATGAATGTTTAGTGTTAAATTGATTAATTTTAGTAGCTATATGAAAATACAGGTCCTGACACCTATTGAATAAGGCCTTTTTTATTGGCAGTGAAAGAGGAAATCAAGAAAGAATGAAGAGCAATTGAATATTTGTTAATAGAGACAAGAAAACAAAGAAGTGAATTCTTAGTGAATTATTGAAGGAATTGAAACACGGATAAATAAGTATGAAGTATTAACTTGAAGAAGATGATGAGCTATTGTTAAAACGATAAGTATTGTGTGGTGTATAGATTTGTACATATGGCAATAATTAAACAGAAGAAGTAATTAGATGGCGCAAAATAGTCTAACCATTCGACGAGAAGAAGACAGTACTGAGATGATCACTAAGAAAGAAATATGTGAAAAGTCAATGATCATGAAAGGTGTTAATGGAAAATTAGAATGGATTATGTATATCGGTAAATGGGATAATGAAGATTTATTTCAATGTAGCCACGAATGGTTGTTCGGTGCGTAAAAATAGGAAATGTTTGATGATAGTAAAGGATATTGTTCAGATAACAACGGTCGAGAAAGAATAGGAACTAGCTTCGTGGAAAGAGATCTTGTTGACAACAGATACGTCGTAATGGATCGTCGACTACACCGGCCAGTGTTTGTATGGCGGAAGGTATGTGATAACAAACAGATAGAAGAAAAGTATACGTAGTTTACGTGTTTTAGAAAGAAGAACAATAACGAACGACTCATTGGAGACAAAACTGCTCCAGCTCGTGTATTTTCTTTTGTATTGCGTTGTTTCGGTATGTTTGAACTTGTGTTGGTGCAGCTTAACATTGCAGTGAATAAATAAGTTTAACAAGTAACAAAAGTGAACTAAGATATATGATGTCAGTAAAAGGATGAGTAACGTGAAATCGAAAACGAAAAACGAAATAATGGTGCCAATGTTGAAAATAACAAGCACGACAATAAGCAATAAGAGAGAACAACACAGAGGAGAAACAACATACATGATACAACAAACATCAAGACAAGATCAGTGACGTTGCTGTCGTCACAGGGGGCTTCATTGCTATGATCTGCACGGGGACGGGAAACCGAAAAACTTCGACTCTCTATCTTCTTCGAAAACACATGTAAGTGCCACAAAGCAAGTGAGATCGACTATCAATTGCGATTATAAAAGTCATGATGATAGTGTACACTTAAAACTGATTATGAAAATAGGAAAAGAGTATATTTTTTTTGCTATATAAACTTGGCTTCATCAAATGTTTATGAGGCATACTAAAATATGCAGTTCACTCTAATTGATGACTAAAATTTATTATCATCAAAATGATTGAATAGAGTATTCGTTCCCTTTGGAAGCTCCCAAAATTTAAATTTTTTGATCTGAGTTGTTTATCGTAACTTATAAACTCTAGTCATAATTTTAGTAGACAATGTATTGAAAATGGCAGCAAAGATTTTGAAAAGGTATACCTAACTAGACCCACAGCAAGGAATTAGATGGCAGAAAAAAACAATCACGTAAAACTACTTTTGTGTCAAATATTAAAAATTTATATTTAAAGCATTCTCATCCAATTCAAAGTAATCATTTTAATGTCTTTCACAAAAGTCATTTTTTAGTATTTTTCATGGCAGTTTTCATCTTTTTTTTTGAATTTTTTTTGACTGTTATAATGCCAGTTTACCATTGCAACATCTGTCCAACTTTCTAGTAAATAGTAAATTTTACCATTTTACACTTATTAGCAACAGATGGCTGCCGATCAGACTCATACTTGTTACTAATGAAAACTAAAGATTAGGTATACCACTTATTATTACCGTTCATGGTGGTTTCAATGAAGACAGTGTTTTCTACTGCTCATAAGTCGAAGTTAACGTAGAAATTTAGTTTCCAGTCGTATTATTCAGTGCTAAGATTTGATAAGAACGAAAAACAACATTTTCTCTGATATAATGCTATGTTATTATCATGAAATGATCTATGGGGTCAATGCTAGACTTGTAATACGCATCATATTGAATATCTCTTTCAATCCGACTGTTGTCAAGTGAGACTATATAGACTTGTTCGACGATCATTATAATATCATTTCGTCACACAGCGAATTCTTTCACTTCACATACCAGAAAGTCAATTCTAGTTTGATCGTGTTTTCTGAATTGTTGTAAAGAGTGAACACATCTTATTAATCTTCAAAAACTAAATAATAAGAAAAAACTATCATTAATATTACTATATTCTTTTCTACTTGTTTCTTTAGGAAAACTGGTGTATGCATGAGTGATGCGCATAATCAACCCAAGTAAGCAAAAAATGAAGAGAGACTGCCGACATGACTAGTGAGAAATGTTCGCAGCTTCCGTCAAGTCTAGTCTAAAACGTCTTGCATGTCCGTCTTGTCTAGTCAGCTTAATGAGGAGTGTCTTACAAACACTTCTGTACTAGTCTGAAATGTCTTCAACACCTATTATGACTAGTCTGAAGCATCTTCTGAACACCTCATGACTAGTAACCCCCCCCCCCCCCCCCCCCCACCTACCACCCCCCCCCNCCCCCCATTATAGAAGACCCCCCTGGCGAAAAATTTTGTCGAAAGTAATAGAAGATCCTCTTTAATTAATTTGTTTTTTGCTAATTACGAACTTTAATTAGCGTTTTCCTATCAAAGTATGCCTGATTCTTAGCATTTTAAGGTGGAAATATTAAGAGAATGTGTTCACAATTATAATGACACCCTTAAAACCCTGAAAATCCTGATGGAAATCCTGAAAGTCGCCTTAGTTTTCTGGAAAACCTTTTAAATTAAATATTAGGAAAAAATGCGGTTCTTAATAGAAGGCCCCCCTGGAAAATTTTTACGCTGGAACATAATAGAAGACCCGGGGTCTTCTATTGTGAGGGGGGGTTATTTTTTTAAGAAGTGTTCATTTTACTCAATGCTTATCGAATTTTTTTCTAGCTAGAAGGACAATTAGTGAGTCTACTGTAATCAACAGTGCATTCGAAAAGATTTAATACATTGCGTGCATCCCTATCGTGATATATTTTATTTTATTTTATTTTGTATAAGCATATGTTAAAAATTTAAGAGTGCATCGAAGCATAAAATAGTAGCAGTTATTACTAACAATAATATTCATCTCGCATCAAGGAGTGGTAATTTATATTTTTTCAAATTGTGAGACGTACTAAATTTAAAAAAATTGAGAAGTATCTAAATTTTTTCATATAATAATATTATGTTAGTTTATTTTAAATATCAATTCTAATAATTTAAAATAAAGCAAAGATAATTTAATTATTAGATGAATATACGGTGATTTAAATTTAAAACTAAGCTAAGAAAATAATATAAAAAAAATTAGTTTCTATTCCATACAAATATTCTTTTTTATACTTAAATTAATATTTTTAAAAACCAACTAATTAGTCCCAGTTGCTTATAATCACAATATATTTGTCAAAAAAATTATAAAATTTTCTTAACTTATTTTGTTTAATGTTATCTGAAGTAATCGCGTTTCGATAAAAGATAATTTTTATTGATACGTGAAATTAAAAAGTTTGGAGTAAAAATTGTATTAAATAGCATCTTAGAATGATCATGAGCGTGTAGAGTAAGACGTCTCGATGATATGGCTCAGTGGTTCTGGCGATGGGTAAGTATCACATTGTATACATGTTCGAATCTGATCTTCATCCTTACATATTTCCATTCAGACTAGTCCAGACTCGTCCCTTATATAAGGCTATAGCTGGTTGTATATTCGTCCCAGACGCCCTTAATTTTTTATTCATAAATCGTCTTCGGACGGGCGACAGGAACACTCGTCACGACTACTCTTATTAGATTTTGTGACTAGTCGTCAATCAGAGTACTAGAACATGTATGCATGACGGTCAAAAACTCGGACTAGGTGTGGACGAGTAGTTTTTGAGACAAAGACTAGACGGGACGGGTTGACACGACTAGAAAAAAGACTAGACATTTAACCAGTCTTTTGCTCACTTGGGAACGAAGAGAAACACGTTGGTCATGTTTCGTATGGTTTATAACTATACAAGCTATAATTTGGTAGGTTCATTCGCCGTTTTAATAATTAACCGTTTCACATGTCATGTTTTTTTTCCAGATTGAAGCCTAGTTCATTATCCGTCTACATGTCCAACAAGTTTTCTTTCATTTTATTGTTTCCTTTCGCGTAGCATCCGGAAAAAGAAAATACAGATTATTTTTCCTCGCTCGTCCTACTATTTGCTTTTTCTCTATTGGTTCTGAATTCATTTGTGTTCTATCTCGTTTACACAGTAGTTGTTAAGTTTATTAGCCCCTGAACTTTTCCCCTACCGTAAGACTTAATGCGCAATTCATTATATCAAATACACATTCTTCTTCTATATAAGAGTAAAGATATGCAAATTAGTTAAAAATCTTTTTTTTTCACAGAAAACCATTCTAAACAACACGGGGAACAGAGCATCCATAACATTATTAATAATCACGAGTTTTTTGTTCAAAAATAATTTTCGTATTCAGCACTTTACTTTAAACGTAATATGTACGATACAGAGAGCTCACTACACGTATAACTGGTGAGTGAGTTATTTAAGACAGTTGAGTTTTTTATGAAGTAGGAAAAAACATTTTACTTACTGAAAGATGAACGAGGCTTAAAGAAAACTTCCCTGTTCTAGATAAAAATGGAGTGATACTCGTGCAAAACAATCAGCTGTAGTCGTTTTCGAACTTGATTTAGAGCATACTACAATTATGAGACTTTGTAGCACATCGTTATTACGTCAAATTAATCCCGTCGTTGAATTTCGATTCTCTGCGACCGATCTAAATCAAAATGAATTGAGTGATGAAAATCAATAGAACCAATTCGCAACGAACGCAGATCGGGTTGTAGTTTTCTGAATGTTAGAAGCTCGTTAGATATTTGGTACTTTGCCAGTTTCTTTCACCAATCCTGAATTCAAAAACAGTATTTTTAATATATTCAAGTGTTAATTTCATCCGTCAGCTATTTCAAATATGACAGTCGAACTTATAAATAATTAAATAGATATTTCTTTATTAATGTTTCGGCAATGTTTCGGAGGATTCCTCGCTGCTTTAACAGTTAGTTTGTTTACTTTTCTATTAAGATTCAGTTTAGATTTTATTATGCAAGCATCTGCCTATTTTTCTTTTTTCCTAATAGTGGAACGGACTGATAAGACGATAATACTGAATGATTCAACTACGTGTTTGTATCTTCCTTTACTCAATTAGAAAAATAAGCGGGCTAATGAAGGAGAAAAAAAATCTGTCGAAACATTACCAAAAAACAATGAATGAATCAATTTTGACTCAATTATAATTTATGCGTAATGAATAAAATGATCAAAATGAAGAAAATAGAATTATTTACAGATCATAGCCCCTTCATCGTTTTTGTGTCTAGCTGAGTAGAATCTCATGTTTTCAGGCCAGTACATTTTGTATCTGTATCGGCGCGGCTATGATTTCTCTACAAAATCGACAGTAAAAATTAGATGGCTTAGACAAATTTGAATAGAAAACCAAATCTTTTTACGAGTTTTATTAGAACGTTTTGTAGTATCTATAGGCAAAAAATCATTGAAATCGGAAGACGATACTTCATGCCATTTCATTATATTAAAAGTCAATTCAGAACCTACTCTTCTAAGAAGTTTTGTGTAGCATGAATTGCGTGTTCTGAAAAGTATGCTGAGATTTATTTTTAACAATCAATTGAGACGCGTCAGAAGGCATGACAGGAAATAGCAACCAATTTATTTATCCTTGGCATACACATTACAGCACTTTGCTTTTACTCCACCAGTTAAAATCAAACAAAGCTGATAGTAGAGAAGGCATGGTTTTGTCAGTATTAAATGTACTTTTTTGTACAACACGATCTCAAAGGAGTGCTGAAGTGTATATGGGTAGANAACTTGCCGCTAATGACATACTTCTCGTCGAATCGCTTCCTTCTCAATACTCGTTTTTGCTTCGACTCGCTCCGTTCAACTACTCACTTACTTGCACACTTGGTTACAACAGTTCAAATCAATATGTCTATGCGGTAGCACTCGCTGCACAAATGCAGGCCAACAGTACCATTCGATTCGTTTTCATCGGTGTGAACACATAAACAAATGTGCCATTCATTGGCTTATTGGATTATACAGGGATCAGCGGAGCTGCATATGTAGCTACAACGAAGACTTCACAGAAAAATACCTTTCCATGTGATGGATGGAGCGCAGATAACTATAGGATACACAATTTCAATCAGCTCGTGTACGGAGAAAGCGATGTAGGCAATAATATCAATTTCTACGTTGTTGCCGTCGAGTAAGTACTCGCTTCTTTCTTGATAGTAGCAGTTATTTCTGAATGAGATAAGAATGAAAAATGTTTAAAATGCTAAGGTTTGCTGCTTACTGTAATCGAGTTTAACGAAGCCTTCTCTCTAAATGTGTAACAGACTTTTGTGAAACACGATTGTGTATGAGCGTTGAATCATATAGCGAGCAAAGTGAATCTCCACCGACATGTCGATGTACTAATCTGGTTGCGGATTCTTAATAGATTGTGAACCCAGAAGTCTCATGAAACTCGTTGTTCTCGGCGATTAGATAATCTTATGAAGCATCGTCATACAACCAAATCGGCACGCCGGAAAAATACATTGCGTATCGTAGACCATGACAGACAAAGAATAATAAATTTTATCAAAAAATATACCACATTATTCGACAGTCTTTTTTTTACTCTTGATTGCTGTTCGGCGGTCCCACATTAATTTGTATCATCCGAGTGAATTTACTTCGGATAACATCAATTTTCAGGTGTGCGCTATATTGAAGTCCTTTACGTTGTAGTCTGCTTCAACACAAAAACACCATTTTTCTATGTAATATTTATTTTTCAAAAGATTATGAAGCATTTTTCGAAATAGAATGAGTCATTCTTGGTCGTAAGAATTCGAGGCTCTATCTCTTCATTTCCATTAATTAGAATACGAAATGAAGTGAAAAATAATTTTTAATATAATCTTTCCAAGGGAAAAAGCTTTTAGCGTAATCCCTGCTAGATTAAAATGTGAAACACAATGAAGCCATTTTAATTATGACCGAGTAATATAACTACACTGATCGTAGTGTTCGCTGGTATGTAAGGGAGAGGCAACGCAAAATGTTTAGCTATTTACTTCAATACTCATTTCTAATCGTGTTTCACAAAAGCTGAAGTTCATGACATGCATACTAGTCATTGTTTGCAACCTTTTAGTATGTGTCCAGGCTCTTCTTTAGTTGAGGTGACTCTGACGTAGTCCAGAAAGCGAAGAGATTCTAGGCAGGTGATAGAATGATCTTTCAATCACAATAATCACTGTTTCAATGATAATTGACAGAATAATAAGAGTCTATTATCCGATGAAAAGTTCACGCAAAAGCACAGTTAAGTTAAAATTTCGTAATAATATCTGATATAATTCAGTTTGCGATGAATGGAAAAAATCTATTTTGACGTGAGTAAAAAGTATTAGTGTGAAGTAAAATCCGTATCGAATAACTTGGTAGCTACTGATTGTATCTGTTTTCCATATTCTTCTTTAGGCCGATGGGCAAGTTTGCCTACGCATTCACGCAGGGTTTTCTTCTCTTGTACAATCTTCAAACCGACAATGTCTCCATCCAGCTCGGTAATTTGACCTGGCCTGACAGCTCTTTCCTTCCACATGCTGCCGATGTCAGTCAAAATCTATTCATAGTGGTACTTGGTTATGTAGGTGATTCGAACAGCAAGTACACACCGTGTGCCTATTTACTAAAAATATCTGGTTTAAATTTGAGTGTACACGAGACCTGGATTTACACCCCACCAACTAGTACCTCATGGCAAGCGAGTCTTACAAATTGGGACGCAGACACCTACTCAGCAAAATACGATATGTCAGTGAGCATCAATGACGCCGAAAGTCAAGTCCTACTCGGTATTCAAATAACAAACACTATTGTGCTGCTTAATATCAATCAAACCAGTACAACGTTTCTGTTACCACCGCAGAAGCTCTCAAACGGAAGGGGAATAGGAATGGGTAAAACAGTCGGCTGGCTCGATGAGAATATTTCTCTCGTCCTGGTTAATACATATTCTCTCAGTTACGTTTGGTCAGCATCACAAATTTTTACCTATAATATGAACACCAATCATAGTTTCACTGTCGTGTCTATTATACCGAACACTCAGCAAACATTGGCGCCTGGAATCGGTCCTATTTTAATCTCACTTGTTGGTACTCAACGTGGTGTGATAATACTGTTAGATTCACAAGGCAATTATTACATCATTCTCCCATCACCTCTTGGTAACACTTCAGACACTAGCATTAACTTAGTTTCATCAAATTTACCATGCATGCCTGGTACTTTCAGCTTTGCTCTTAATATCCAGCCGTGCTCGCTTTGTCCTGAGAATTACAATACATTTGGCTTAACTGGTCAAGTATCCTGTGAACTATGTGCTAGTGATGCTTTTTGTCCACTGGGAGCAGCCTTCGGAAATATCAGTGCGTCTTCTTTACTTCTTACAAGTACCAATCAAGTATCAGCCTATCCTTTATCACCCCAGTCGGTTCAATTCGAGAATATTCTAATGGAAAATATGTTTACTATTAGTTTCTCTTCATCCAATCATTGTCTGCTCGTATCACCCTTATTTTGGGTATTGATCATTATGTTATTAGGTATACTCATCGCACTTGTTATGACCATTCTCAAACACTGCGCCACTCATCCTCTAGGAAAGAAAACACGAAAGGGACTCAGAACATTTTTCAAGCACTTCGATCTTATTGGTGAAGGCGATTTGTGGATAGGTGGTATAGTTAGTTTTGCTATTCTTATCCTCGCTATATTCGCCTATGTGTTCAGTAGTGACTACTTTTATCGTTATCCCATCGAAAAAATCAGCGGTAATGCTACATTTGCTTGTGATCCAACCTTATCGAACGCTCAATTCAGTACCCGTTTGATGTCTCTGATGGTTTCTCCAAAAGTCGATGAATTGCCCGTATTTGAACTTCTCAACGCTCAGCTATTTACACTGCATGTTGCCTTTGTCAATACACTTTTTTCATGCACGGATGTGACCCTAACACAAATCAAGGACATAAATCTACCTCTGCCCATTTCGTCCTGTAATAGCAGCGATGGCAGCGTATCAATTGCAGCTATTTTACCATCACATGGTGTGAACTTACAGTTTCTGCTCGCTGGTATCAATACTATTGGTGGTGTTCGTCTAGCCCTTGAAGGATCGGGTACTCAACAGAAGAATGACATTCTCCAAGTTAGTTACACACTTGTCGATGTCACATTCGCACAGGCATTTTCAGCTCCTGGTCTTCTTCTCACACAACAGCCATCGCTCACACTTCAGCTCACTAAAGTGATTAATCGCACTTATGCACTTACTGAAGGCGGCCAGACGCAATTGAGTGGTATTTGGATGCCTTACGTTTCGACTGATACCAATCAGATCTTTGTTAATGAAAATGAGTATATATATGCCATAAGTTCGAATACAATACTTTCTCTCGTCATAAGTGAGACACCATATTACGTATTAAACATCCAACAACCAATCGTCGATGAGGCTGAACTTATCTTCACGAACGTTCTATTTACCATTCTATGCATGGAGATTTTTGGTTTGGTGTTACTCATTTTCAAAGTTATAATTGTCCCACTTTTCAGACGTTTAAATAATTATTATCAACGACAAAGTACGACAGAAAAGTCACTGACAAGCAACTTCGATGTGTCACAAGCATCTCTTTATCGCTTTTAATATGCGCGCTTGCAAACGGATGTTTTCTGTTCTTAATGATTCGTATAGGTGTTAACTGATTTCGAATAAATTGACTGGTGGACCACAATCCTATAAAAACTTGTCTTTAGCCAGACCAATGGGAGTGCGAGAGAGAGAGTGTAGATGATAAGGAGCGTAGAGCATCCATCACATATGATTCTTCAATAAGTATCATATTAGCAAATTTTATAAACAAATTTTCAAATTGCTTCGATTCAAGACATTCACATATAGTGTAAAATATTGTGAAAATTTTAACAAAACTCAATCCAGTAAAGAAAAAAGAATCCTTTCGATGAGATGAGTACCCCAGCTGAATATTTTCACTTGAAATCAGTACTATTGCGTATACACTATGCTCTCGAATAAATTAACTTGATGTAATCATGATGCGTTTCTTATATGGTTGACTCACTATTGTTGCACAGAAGGAGTATCATTGGAGATTGAGCTCGCGCTGACTTTTGGGACGAGGCATCGTCTCAACTCAATTAGTAAAGAGCCAAGAGTTCAAAGCTTCTTGGAACTCTATTAGTGGAGGTGGGCAGTTCAAAATTCGTAGCTATCGTAGGGTTCATGTGGACTGACTTTGGAATGTTTTATTTCTCGGTGCATCACTGATGAAATTTTTAAGCCACTACTTTCTGTAATCGCTGTTATAGCCTTTTTGCTAAAGAGCCGTACTAAATTTTATGGCAAAGTCTTATGAGCGTAATTTTAGAGTATGGGCGTGGGTGTTGAGAAACCTGGAACACCCCACGCACACACACATCCACCCACACCACGCCCCAAGAATACCGGGATGGCAGATAGCGCGGTTTTATAACACCACACTGCGGTCGAACGCAAAACATCGTGGTTTACAGCGATTGCTTTGAAAAAAATGTTCATCGGTAGACACCCCGTGATAGAAATTCGACAACGATGAATAGTTGAGCGAGTGTGAACGAGATATCAAAACAAAAACTATGGCGGCTGGCGAAAGGAATTTATGAACGAAAAAGACTGATAGCAGCATAGGAATAATAAAAGAAGAAAGATGCTCCTTTAGGCAAGTGAAGAACTAGAAAATATTTGAAATGAATAGTGACACCGAGATGTATTTGTCTCGATTTGGTTTTGTTTCCGAAAGAGATTTTTGCATATTTTATATCTGTTGTGTTCCTTAGCATGGTTAAATGTGCGTTCCATGTTTGAGTTTAGTCTGGGGCTAAGCTAAAAAGCTTTTTTTTTATACATTCGTAGCTTGATCATCGAAAGCATCGAACGTTATAGGAAATCAGGCGCCATTTGAAAATATTTTGTTGAAACTCTTCACGGTGAACGTTTTATTTCTGATTAACTTAAGTTCACTAATTTATGATTATGATCAGAGTTGGAATAAGAAAACTAGACGAGTGCCCTAACAGACCAGCTAGCATATAGTCATGTGAACGTGGCATTGACGCAGAAAAGAGGTCTACGCAGCTGTGATTGATTCGGTGTAACTCACACTGTTTGCCTGGCTCGAATCATTGAAAGTTGCAACGTTCACGTTCGTCCTAAAATTTTCCTGATGATTAATGCCACTTCAGCGTTATCAACGCTACGAGATTGTTTTCGTTGCTAAGCACAGCTATAATCAGAAACTCAGTTTGAAAAAGATCGCAAAAATAGTGAGGTACAGCTAACCAACAATCACTCCGTGACTCAAACAATAGGAAGAGACCACCAATTTGTCTAGTCAGTCGAGATCAGGACCCAAAGAAGGAGAAGACGAGATGATTACAAATGTGGCTTTCAAAGACAACAAATGGTATCGAGCTGTGGCGAGTAAAGTGATCGCATAGTATTTGCTAGACAAGAAAGCTGGAGTTATCACGTGAACCTTTCGCCATCGGCTCCTAGAGGGTCTGAAAGATTCGAAGCTTCTGTTGAAAGGCTCTACTGACTCAACATCATCAACATCAGTGCGCAAACTAGTAGAATCGATATTGACGTATGACTGCTCAGAAAGAAAAAAAGTGTGATACTGAACCTTTTAGTGTTCTAGATTTGGGTACCATTTTCAAAACCATTTAAGGTTCAAGCAAAATCTGGTTCAAGCTGGAACTTTTTCCTATTTCTCCCAAAAATAGTTCTATAGCAGTAAAATGTAGTCCACCAAACTCAATTAGTCTAGTATTCCAGACTAATGTTTTATCCAACCATTAATTTCATATTTAATCCCTTATTCCTATCCTTAACCCTTAATTCTATGTGTTATATTTACCTAGATCTGTTGTGAGTAGAATACGAGCTAGCACTATGTCCGTTATTCGCACGAAAGCGGCATCGCCGTTAGTTGTTGTTGAGACCATCCTAAACAAAACAAAAAGGGACAGTGACTTATGTTGTAAGATTCAACTTACCATTAAATCAATTATTCGCATATACCTAAAATATTAAAAGAAACACCAATTCATTTTATCATTTTAAACTTGCATTTGAATTAATTATTCATACATACCTAACTACAGAAAATCTTGAATTGATTTTATCAGATTGACATTACCTGTCTATTCATATATATGACATATCGAAAAAGATAAAGAACAATTACACTTCCAAAGATGCCACTAATTATTGAACTGATTTTGCAGACACAACTACCCAGGTCTACCATTCAACTATCGCATCCCTGGCATCGAAAAAATGATGAAGTATTCGGATTCCTGGACATCGATAACCTATTCCGAACGTCGATCAGAATTGAGGTCGGACTCAGTAATCAAAACAACTTCAAGATAAAAGGAGAAATAAATATTAAAAACCCTCGATTGGTAATATTTTACATGAACGAACTGTATGGAAAGTTTCTATCAAATTGATGATCCACAAATCATTATTCAATAGAAAAAAAGAGCCGACATAAACATGTTCAACATTTAATACTATTCAGGTTTTTTTTGCCCTTTTTCTTTTCTCGAAATCATGAAACTGTCAAGATGCAACAGAAACAAAATCGTTACTTCTCTAATTTTTATTAAACAAAGAAGATAATTACAAAAAAAGAGGACTATATTAATTCGATGTTTGATAATTAAGTAAAGGACATATCCTGATCATGATATTGATTTGCTTGTTCGCAAAGTCGATCAATCGAACGTAATTGTGTTCTTGTAAATGATTTAGATTGCATATGAGCAAATTCAGCAAGACGATTTAAATCAATAGAAGCTGTACGACGATAAAATTCGTATTGATTTTTTTCGTCTTCAGTTAAAGTTGAACTTGTTTCATGTTGTATAACTAATAAATGAGTACGAAGTGCGGCTAAGCAAAGGTGAGGAAATAATTGTTGAAGCTAGAATAGCATTTGGTTTAGCAAAAAACAAAAAAAATGTTTTTATAATAAATACTTACCCATTTATTTGATGCAAATAATTGTCTAGCTTTTTCATCATCATTATAATTTTTGTCGTATGGAAACAATTTTAATTGACGTAAAACTAGAAAAGCTCGTTCATCTTGTCCTACTTGAAGATAATAATCAACAAATGCATAAATATCCAATAGAAGAAAATAATTTTGTTGATCATCATCTTGTTTTTTTTTTGATAATATTTGAAGGCGTTGAGCTAATTCATAAACAAATGAAAATGGTGATAACGTTGATGATGATGATGATGGTATTAATAAACGATCAAGAATTAATTGTGTCATATATTCAGAAGCAAGACGTAAAGCAGAAGAATAATCATGAGCTAATTCAAATAATGCCGATGCAACAAGAAGATGAGAACGATGATGTTCTTCGATAGTTGCTGCAAGACTAATTAATGTATCATCGATATCAACATCATCAATATGAGACAATAATTGATGTAGAAGACCTAGACCAAGAGATACAATAGTGAGCTTTTAATAAGTAATATTAGGTTAAATGGAGAAATGCTTTATCTGAGTTGTATAGTATAGAGATGTCAAATAAAGGTAGATAATTTACTCAGACATCTACTATCGAGTACCGATGTTTTCTATTCGGTCATATTAATAAGAATAACATAAGAAATTTGATGATCGAACGGACTCGAAGAAACATCAAGTAGAAACTTTCAAAAATATCATTGAAGTGTATACTTGAAAATTTTCTTTTGCTTAAAGACTAAAATGATAAAAATTGCCTCAGACGTAAGTGTTTTCATGTATCAATCGAAGAATTAATTATGGGAAACCTACACGAACTACTTTATCATCATTAAAATCATATTCTAAAAAAAAGAGAAACAGTTGCCAAACTAGAAAACAATCTTATTCAGACTTTTTCTTAAAAAAAAGAATTTCAGGAGGTTTCACTCGATTCATAAAATGATCTTTTTTGATCCAAACTTTTCTTCAAATAAGTGTTTCTAATCTTCATATTCCAAAGTTCTCAACCAAAATCATTACTGCGATTACGAAATGTCCAAAAATTTGCCTATAAGATTGAATGCTTGTTAGACTATTTGAGTTTAGAGGTCGTATCTACGTATTTGTCTAAACTATAAATTCTTAATGCATGGTTTTTCTCATCATTTTATTTGATCATTCTTACTATCAACTTTGAAACGTACAAAAGTATTTTACAGTTTGCAAAAAACTGAAATTTCCATAAGTCTATTATTGATCAAGTTAAAAATCAATAGCAGATAGTGGTGAAATATTAACTGCACTCTTCTTTTACATTACATTCTATATGTTGATTCATAGTTCTATTATCATCATACTACCTCGATTGGCTTTGTTTTCATGCTATTCAAAATCATCACCTTTCTTGTCCTATTTAATCAATTTCCTTTCGTTGAACAGTTTCGTCAATTCTTAGATTTAATAATGTTCACTATCATATTGAATGTTTAGTTTTCATGAGCAAACTTTCTACGTACGATTGCAAATTGTGATTTTTATTTAAAACACAACTTTTCAGTGCTTTTCTTCTCTTAAAAATTAGAACATGGTGTTAACATCTGAATGATTTCAATATGTTATGCTTTGGTGACTTAAAATTGTATTGCATCATCCTTACAGTTTTCATTCGTGAAACTAGTTAGTTGTGAAACCAATTCATTCAGATTCTTACTTCGAAAACGTCAATAAAGATTGTTCAATTATGTGATTGTGACAAGGAAATATTTACAGAACAATATATGATAAGAAAATGAGTTTGCCTTTTAAACGTGCCTTTTGATTATTGTTTACAATTAACTCTTTATTCGTCATGCAACTTTTGTTACCATCCATTCATTTTTTTTTACTTGAATCGATTACTGTTACACAAATCCTAATAAGTAGTGTATAAGCCAATTTAGCTTTTGTCGTTCCAAAAATAGCTTGTCGACTAATGTATGCTTTACTTAATTTGTTTTCTAGAAACATACAATTCCTGAAAACTTGTTTAATCGAATTTTTTAGCTGAATTTTAACCATTGATTGGCCTTATTGTCATTAGAAATATATGAAAATGTGTGCAAATACTAACGTAACCGTATTAGGTAATTTATATTTTTCAGAGACATCTGTTTTGGGTTCTATTTGAATAGAAGTGCACTTTCAAGATAAACTAGTGCTTTGATAAAGATAGTTTTGCCGTAAGAACCTTTTTCTTTAGAATTTTCTAGTTACCTTAACACTTATTTATAAAGAAAATTTTTGTTTGAAATTTCATTATTGAAGTTATCAATGAATATCTGAATGAAAACGGGCTGAATAATTAGAAATATTTTCTCATCACCTATGTTGAACGTATATGTACTTAATCATCATACCTCTTTCCAGTTTAAGCGTTCTATTTTCATCGTCTTTATCATTATCTGTAACAATAACCCATTTTCCATAAACAATATGTATATCATCTAGATTTGTTGTCAAATCAATTAATAATCGCCGGAATTCTGTTTCAGCCTCTAAATGTTCAATATTAATCAATGCGTAAGCATAATTAATCAATTCCCAATAACGATTTTGATTGTTAATCAATTTTTCTTTTAAGTATGATTCAATTAATTTTGGTAAATTTAATGCTGTATTAGTCTTATTTTGTTGTGAATTTCCTGCAATCATAATCATACATTCATCAATAGATGATGTTAACCCCAGTAAATATTTTTCATTAAAATAAATTGATAAATGAATTGAATGAACTTTAGTTGATGAAATTTTAAAAAGAAATTCACATGCTGATTCAAATGCGCCACATAAAAGAAGAACACGGGCATAACGAAACGGCTGTTCGTAAGCTTTAAAATAATCTTCACCAAGATCTCGTAATATCCAACGTTGAAGTCGTGAAATTGTTAATTGAACATTTGTACGATCATGAAATGCTGTTTCATTTATTGTTTGAATTTGTGCTAATTTTATCCAAAGAAAATCTTCAATACACAGTAAAACATCTTCATGTGCATCGACTAAATTTGTTCGATCTAATATACAAATAACTGCGCTAAAACGAAAGAAGCGAAAAGAACAGAATTTTCAATAAATGAAGTTTTTCAAAAGCAGAATCTAACTCTTTGACATGGGATATGAATTATTGGCAAAATTTTACATAGAAATTTCATTCATCTAAATTCATGAACACATACATTTATTTTATGTCTCGATGCAGGACTATTTAAATGTTAGCCAACTATCAAACTACTGAGTACAAGTTATATTTGAAAGAAAACTTTTTTAACACTGTCGATTATCTTCATTTCGCTTTATTTTTTGGATTATCATGACTTCGGTAAGTCGAGAAAAACTCAGGGTATTTTAAACATTAAGAATTAATTTAAAAATTGCTTGTTATTATCTGAAGATTGATGTATATATCTATTTATCCAAAAAAAAAATTCAATGCAGCTAGCTAGAATGTAGTATATTAAGATTATATGTCGGTAAAATTAAGACAAGTTTGATCTGTATTTTGTTAAAAAACCAACTGCGCGAAAAATACAATGTCTATTACTAGCAATAGTAGCTACACTGCGTTTCGAAGACATTTCACTAATAGATTTTTATGAACAAAAACACCATTGAGAGTACATAACAACTGTTTTGTAGTTAAGTCATTAGAAACCTCAAACGTGTATATTTGAAACATACAAACGTAATCACTTATGAACATAATTCTCTCTATTTTATAGATCTAATTTGGAAAAATTTGCTACCGATCTTTTTTCTAGATATAATTATCTTTCCTAGATAGCTTCAAAAAATGATTGATAAAACGTCTAAAACCAATTTAAAGAATTTCCAACTAGACAGCACTGTCCGATTTTTGTGAAAAAAGTCACTTTTTCTGACAAAATTCGAGGTTTTATACTTAGGGAATCTATTTAATGACAAGAAATTATTTTCTTTTCATCGAACCGTTTATAAGGATTTCCAACGAGACTGAATTCAATATTTCGAATATTCGATGATTTATTGGTAGTTGATGTTGTCGATATGTTTGTTATTGTTGATTGTTCTTTTGATAAATAGGTTTCTAGCAGAGATTGAACATGTGGTAAACTATACAAAGAATAAACGATCAACTTTTTTTAGAATTTATATTTTGAAAAAAAATATTCACTTTGCTTTATGAATTATGTTAAAAGCAAGATTAGTATCGCCAGCTCTTAATGCATAAAAAATTAAAGGCCATGCTGATACACCATCGACAAGACGATCATCAACAGATTGTAAACTAGATATTTTTTCATTGGATGTTATGAATGATAATAAACATCCATAAAAGTCCATATCATTATAAGTTGTTTTTAATGCTTGACGAAAACTTCGCTCAAGATAATCACGTGCACAAAGAACAATTGCACGTTGTGAATGAAATAAGTCACTTTTTCGATAATCATGATCAAGAACACCTGTCATCCACTCAGCTGCATGCCAAAAATCACATACAACCTTAAATAAAAAATTAAAAAAGGACTCGTTAATAATAATATTAACAACAAATGTCAATCTATTATTGATTAACTTGTGTTTCGTAGATTTTAGCAACATGTTTATATGCTACAATTAATTGATCACCGTCAGCAGTACCGGATGATGTTCTTGTTTGATTATATTTAATAAGCTATTTCCATCAAATGAGAAAAAAACAAATTTTGATCTAAACTTAAGTAAATAGTAAACTCACTGTCTGAGCATATTGTTGTTCAACAAGTGATAAATCAGTAAAGATTGATGATTGATTCTGTTGAGATGTCCAGTCCTAAGAAATGATTTCAGTTTATCGAACAAGATTGACAAATAGAGGTGACCATTGAATAAAGTTGCTACTTTACAATTAAAAAATGTTAAGTAATAGATATCTCCTTGGGTATATTGAAAAAGATTTAATGTTTTCTCTATGAAACACCTGAGAGTTTGACTTCAAACTATTCGATTTACTTCAATTGAAGCATATGCAAGTAAAATTAAAACGGTCGATTAGAATTTTTGGCAAAAGCTTCAACATTTTTTCTTCTTTGGATTTGTTCGAGCTTATATAATATATATTGCAATCAATCTGCACAGTTTACTATGAAAGTCTCAATAATTTTCTACAATAAGAAATTTTCATTCTTTTTTTTTATAGACACTTCTATTATGATGACACATCTTTATTTCTCAAACTTTCTACTATTCCCGAAAATTTCCAAATAAAAAACAATTAATAATATAAGATTATTTATTGAACGTATTACTTCATTCTGTATAGAACAGTGATAAGTTTTCTATATATTTATTTATTTTATAGAATAAAAAACTAACCGATTTAAAATCATAACCGGCCGAAGATGTGATAGAATCGTTCAGTATTTGGCTTTGCTATTTTCATTACAAAGAATATAATACAAAAAAAAAATATACAAATATAACAAACTTTAGTCAATGATGTGGAATCATATGAAGATATTGAACGTGGTCGAAGATCATCAGCTAATAAACAATTTATCAAATTGCGACGTCGTTTTAAACTATTCAGAAATATTTCTTCCCAATAATCAGTATCAGCTTGAGTCAATGACTACAATCAAAAAATAATACCATTAAATTTTCATTAAAAACTAGCTTTTCATTATAGAACTCCATATTATCACGAATACTGCCAAAGTGATATTTGAAAAGTATTGAACTAACTGATTGACTAACTGCCTTCATAATAGTACTTATTCTTTCGATTTAAGAACTAACCCGAAAATAAATTCAGGAAATGCGAGTCAAATATATAGATCAGATGAATGTTATTAAGGTCAAAAGAAACAAGTAAACTATTAATCAATGATTAATCTAGTAGGATTTCTTATAGTTTAACAAGATCAATAAGGAAGAATAAATCATAAACTGAGTAATAGACGCTCAAAATAAATATAACTAAATTACAATTTTCTCGTAGTATAAGGTGATAATGATTCATTAACAGTAATACTATTTGATAAGATAATAAACATTCTAGTATGGGTATGGGTATATTATCAATGTGTCATATAAAACTAAATCATTCACATATATTATTAATCATTTTTAAACAATTATTATACATTTGAATAGTATCGATTCAAAGAAATAAACAATATTCGTTTCTAATCACCTGTTGTGTTAAATATTCAAATTGTTCATCATTAAAATTTGCTCGTTCACTTTTTAAAAATGCATCTAATTCTGCTTCATTATTGACTTTTATTAATCGATTTGTTGGTTTTACTGTGTATGAAGATGAAGACGATGATATTGATTCGATAGCCGCTAATTTCTTCTCAATACTTGTTAAATTGAATGATGTAGACGATGCTGAAAGAAACATCTAAAATAAAGAACCCACTTCACTGTTATTCATTTTGGAGATGTAACAATACGTATGTAATTAATAAATTATTGCTACTATTAAAAGTATCAGTGCACCATGAAGAAAAGTGTTTCTAGTTAACTACTCTTCAATTTCGAGAAATTTTTAGATTTTAATTAACAAGATGTCTATATTTTATCGCCAGTTTTCGTTTATTTATGGCGGAACTCTGATCCACTTTAGTAGAAGGCTGCCAATCAACTCCCAAAAATTTTGATTATTACTATAATTATATCAATCCAGAATTATCTTTGAACATGATAGTAGCTGTCTAGGAGAATAAAAAATCTGCCTATACAAATACATCAAAATTCAGAACCACTAAGGAGAAAACGTTTCGGCATTAATTAAATTAACATTAAATAAATAGAAACTTCAAAATGATAATTGATCACCATCAATTTATAACGGCAGCTAAAATAAAATATGTTAAAAGCATTTAACCTAAAAATTCTAAGTTTCAAATTTTGTAAAAAGGGATATATAGATTAGAGAGACAATTAGGCAATCATGAGAGAGCGCCACAAGTCATCTATATATTTTATAAAATTTTATTGAAAAATCACATTTTCTTTTTTCATCTTAGTGAATTTCGTAATTTATCGAATCGATGAGTTCCAATGTAAAATTATCATGAATTTATTTTAATTGGTTACTCATAGAATTTAAAGAAAAAGAAATCAAGCAATCATGATTTGATCATATCTGTCTGTCTGCTATTTACTTTTATCTATCTCTGATTTGACGTAACAAAGAAATTCTTTTGTATGCATATTTAAGATTAGTCCTTTTATCATCACGATCCACGTATCATGTCATCTATACAAAATAAGAAATGTGGTAAATGTGAAAAAACTGTTTATCCAACTGAAGAAATCAAATGTCTAGACAAAGTAAGTTTTATCATCTGCTTTTCATCGTTTTTTAATTGAATAGGTTATTTTGAGATCAGACAAACAAGTGTGTCATGTGTGAAGTCTTTATTTATGATTTTTTTTTCTATCGATGAAACATTCCTTTGCGTTTACAGAAAGTGGTGCAGTGTTTCCAATGGAAATCTAGAACAAAATATACATATACACTTTGCTTTTAGTGCCAAAGTGTACCAAAAGCAAATTTTTAAAATCCAAAAAGCACAAAATAATGTTGTGTTTTTTTCACAAAAAATATAAAGTAATACTTGATAAATGAATAAATGATACATAGACGTTCTATCTCATAATCTGACACGTTCCTTGGCAAAATTACAAAAAAAAGGTTTACAAAAACAAAAAGTTAATATGTATTTTTTTCAAATAGTATATTCTAAAAATATGAATTATTTTCGTCTTCATGATGATGCAAAAATGATGTAGAGTTTTGCGAATTTTAACGTGCGTCCTATAAAGAATGGCCTTCTCAGTATTCCCTCAACAACTTCTTTATTTTTTTCAGCTTTCGGGCTTCAGCTTTTGTCCTAACGATCCACCTTCCAATTCTACACTAGACTTGTATCAAAAGTTTTTCTGAAGAAGGTTGACCAGAAAAGTAAAACAATAATACTGAACAAGTAGAAAATAACTAACATTCAAACCTATTTTCAAAATAAACTTCAGAAGATTTTTTTACAATACTAGAATAAAGAAAACCAAAGT